GGGAGAGAGAGGGAGAGAGAGGGAGGGAGAGGGAGGGAGAGGGAGGGAGGGCTTTCACATTAAGCTACAACCTGAGCCCCTATTTCATTGCATTTTTCATTCCATCTCACTTTTTGAGGTAGGGTCTCACTGAGTCCCCTTGTCTCAGCCTCCCAGAGAGCTAGGATTACAGATGTATGCTACCACGCCAGCTGCAGAGATTATTCTCGTCTTGTCCAAGCATCTAGAACTAGAGGGCACAGACTAGAGGCTCAGGGAGTATTTGTTAAATGAATGACTCAAACAGCAAGCCTTGACCATTGGCCATGAGCACCACGCTAGGCTGCTGGAGCATTCCAACACCACTCTGAAGAAGGGGGACCCAGGGAAACCAGGGCTCAGGGTGTCTACCGCCAGACGGCTGGTGAATGTCAGAGCCGATTAGAAGGAAAGCTATTAGGACAGAGAAAAATAATGTGTGGTTCTTATCTAGCAACCTAGTTGACTGCATTTTATAGAATCTAAAAATTTCTTTTCTCCCATGAAAAATTTCACACACGTATAAAAGTAGAGAAGTTTTACATGAACCCTAGTGTACTTCCCACCTAGCTTTCTAATACCTTAGTATTTACTATGTCCGAGTCAGTCTTTTTTAATCGGAGAGAAAGCTGAAAGCCCCCAGCCCTTCCTCGATCGCATTTCTGTGCCCCCTTGATCATGCCCTGAGCAGTCACTATCTTGTGTGTTATTTGTTGCTCACATGCATTTTATGTGTCCATCACATATATTTATTTATCCATAAATGTCACACGATTTCCTGTGTTCAAACTTGATGTAAAAGGTATGATACTTGACACAGACTTCTGCAGCTTGCTTTTGACAATCCGTGTTTTGAGGTCCACGCATGCTGACACACGTCGCCCTTGTTTAATGAGTTCCGCTTGAATGCACCATGATCTACCCGTTCTCCTGTGATCGAAGTTTGGTCCTTGACAATTTTTCACCATTGGAAACTGGCTGCAGCCAGTATTTCTGTACCTGAAACCTGGGAGTGGAATCAACGGGAAGAGCACCTGCATCTTTAATCTTAAGAGACAGCGCCAAATGCTCAGCAAAATGTCCTATGATTTTTCTGGCACTGTATGAAATTTAATAATTTTCAGCCTGCAGGGTGTGAAATGTTGTCACTGTAATTTGCACAGCCCTAATGACTACCAAGACGCACACTTTTTTGTATGATTGTTGTCCATTTGAATTTCCTCTGTTGTGAACTGCCTATTATATTCACTGCTCCTTTTTCTATTGGGGTAGTTATCTATAAAATATCTATTTAGAGAGGTTTGTTATGTATTCTGGATTTTAATCCTTTAATAGTTATATGCATTGCAAAATATCTTCTCCCTTTCTGTGGCTTGTACGTTTTAACTTTGTTTAAGGTGAAAACAGAAGTTTAAAGTCCAAATGTTTCCAATTTGCAATATTTTTCTTCTTTGTCTTTTTTGGGTACCTTAAAAAAATAATTTCCGGGCCAGGGATTTAGCTCAGTGGTTCCGGCACCTGCCTCGCAAGCACAAGGTCCCGAGTTTGATCCCCGGTACCAAAAAAAAAAAAGAAAATTTCCTATTCCAAGATAATAAAGATAGTATTTCATATTTTCTTCCAAGAAGTGTAAGATCTGTCACTTTTTTATTTAGATGTTTCTTTTCAGAGTTTGTAGGAGAGGGGGCTAACTTTAATTATCCTAAAACCCTTGTCTTGGAACATTCCCAGCTGATTTTCCTGCCCTCCCTGTCCCACAGTCACCTGTCCAACACTCCTGTGTTATGGATGGGGAACAAGGGTCCCCCAGGGTGGGCTCCCTCCTCCCTTCTTATGGTTGCCCAACCCTCCCTGACCCCACTGGCCTCCTCCAGGACGGCCCACGAGTCAGGGGAGTGGGTCCTGCACCTTGCCTCCACACCTTCAAACATCTCGGCTCTTCTGGACCCTCTGCTCCTCCATGCGAGTTTTAAGATCAAATTGTTAAAAAAAAAAAAATCAAAGGAAAAATATTGAGATGTGGGTTGGAATTGCATTGAACTGATATATTAAATCGAAGACAATTAACATCTTTTTGAGCTTGGGTCTTTCTAAACATAAGCATGGTCTATTTCAACAGCTTTTACATTTTCTCCTTGAAAATCTTAAAGTAATTTTTGTTCAATTGTTTCTAGGTACTTTTTAGTTTCAGGTATATATGTTTTCAAGTTAGTGCTAAAAAATACCCAAGATTTTATTTTAACTGTATTTGGTGACCTGGCTGAATTCTAATTGGTTCTATTAGTTTATAGATTCTCTTTTGTCAGCAATTATAACTTCTATGAATACAGATACTTCTGTGTTTTCCTCCTCCTTCTGGTATTTCCTTTCCTTTTCTTATTGCATTGGATAGAACCTGTAGTGAATACTGTCTTCTATGACTTAAGCAGAAGAACTTCTAAAATTTCACCATTTAGTATAATGTTTATTGCAGGTTTGGGGATACTTTTTAATATTAAATAAATCATCTATTTCTAATTTGCTAAGAATTTTCTCGAAAATCGTATTTGAGAGCTGAATAGTATCAAATGCTATTTATTTCTCTGTAGCTATAGAGATAAAATCATATGATTTTTCACTTTCAATCCATTGATACAGTATGTTAATTAGTAACTTTTCAGACTTTGACTAATACTTGAATTTTTGGCATACTCTTATTAACAATGATTTTTTAAAAAACTGCCATCAAATTAGACTGCTAGTCCTTCGCTTAGATTTTTTTATCTATGAAAAAATACATAGCTGAGTCACAATTTTCTTTTCCTCTACTGTTCTTGCCAGAATTTGAAATTGAGATTAGCTTCGTAACATGAGTTTTACTGCTTTCCTTCTTTGAGTTTTATCCTCTTAAATACTGATTTTCATGACTTCATGTTTATTTTCATAAATTAAGAATTACATGTCTCTTTTAAGTCTAGTAAAAGAGTATTTCCTGTAAAAGTATTTTTCCCCGATGTTTTTGGAGGAAGAAACTTTTCCATTTACTCTGATCACCATTTGTTCTTTATTTCTGCCCTGCTACTTTCTATTTTTCACTCACCGCCCATTTCTATGCTTTATCTTCTCAACTCCTGCCATCTCTTATGT